GAAAGAGAAAGAGAACAGAACAAAAGAAATCATCGTATTGAGTTTATTTGATGTTAAATTTTTGTACTCGGTGATTGTCGTGATCGGTGACATAGAGATTGCCATGTCGATCGAATGATAAACCCCAGGGATGATATAGTTGATTCGACTTTTTGCCTTGGCCGTTTCCACCAGCAATGATACTTCCCTGTGTGGCTCCTTTTGGCCAACGCATAATTCGATGATTATGACAATCAGCCACATAGACAGTACCCAATTGATCGACAACAATTCCTCGAGGCTCGTTCAATTGTGTGAGGCTATTTCCTGGTCCTTGACCACCGGCTACGACAATGCCTTGTTTTGCACCTTTTTTCCATTTTACCACACGATGATTTTCGAATTCGGAAACGTATACTGAATGATTTCGATCGACAAATACATACTGGGGTTTAGAGAGTTGATTGAAACGATCTCCTTTTCCATTACCACCTGCAACCACTGTTCCTTTAGTATCACCAACTCTATATCGTCTCACTTCATTTTTTTCTTCGTCAACGACATAGACAAAACCATTTTCGTCCATTGTCAAACCAATGGGACGAATGTTCGAGATGATTGTTTCTCCTCTAGTATCATCTTGACGAGGCCATCGGACGACTCTATTATTCAACGTATCGCAGATAATGAGGCTATCTCTCTCTTTGTCAACAATCACATCGAATGGGAATCTTAGCTGATGAGCTCCATCTTCTGCTTTATTTCCACCAGCAACTGTTTGACCATTCGTTGCACCAGATTTCCATTCCACAATGCGGTCATTATGCACATCAGCAACATAAATCGTTTGATCATCATCAACATATAAACCTTTTGGGTAATTGAGTTGATGGATTCCATTGCCATATTCATTTCCTCCAGCCACAGTAATGCCATTGGGAGCCCATTCGGCATTCGACTGAATATCAATCGAACTTGCACGTAGGGGTGGTACTGAAATGAAAGAAAAAATGTCGAGTAGAA